TTGTGTAAGTATACACCCACACCTAAACACCACCACACCACACTGTGAAATCTGTATAGGCAACCCTCTCTTACAGATAAATCCCCACACATGAGTAGGTGTCAAGACCACCTGTGTTAGTATACACACACACACACACACACACACACACTCACACATTTTTCTAACTATTCTTTTAGACACTCCCTTCTACATAGCATTTTAGATACCCCCTCTATTCCAGACAGGTCCCACAGGCATAACTAATTGTCAAGACCAGTTACATAAGTATACACACATATACACATATAAGTATCCTTTTAGGTACACCCTCTCCTACAGACAAATAACACACACAACTAGTGGTCGAGACAAGCTATGTAAATACACACACACACACTCACACACATTTAGGTATCCTTTTAGGCACCTACTCTCCTAAAGACAGATCCCAAACACATATCTAGCTGTCTAAACTAGCTATGTAAGTACACAACGACACAAACACACACACACACACAAACACACACACACACAAACACACACACACACACACTCCTAAGAGTCCTGATAGCCACTCCCTCTCCTAAAGACAGATCCCACATATAAAACTAGCTGTTAGGACCAACTATATAAGTATACACAGGTATCATATAAGTATCTTTTTAGGTACCCCCTTTCTTAAATACATATCCCACACACATAACCCACGCATACACACACAAATCTAGGTATCTTTTATTCACCCCATCTCCTACAGACATATCCCACACATATAACTAGCTCTCCAGACCAGTATTTATTCACACACACACACACACACACACACACACACACACACACACACAGATGGATTGGTGTCAGGTTCTATTTAGGTATCCTGTGTGATCTGTTTAAGAGAGCAGATGGCTAGCTGTACATGAAAAATGGACTGAGTGTGGGGCTTCAGCCATAAGGGAAGGGAAAAATAATGTAACCTAGAACTTATCCCTGTTTGTGTGTGCATTTGTGAATGTGTGCATGTGTTTGTATGTATGTGTGCATGTGTGTGTGCTTTGTGTGCTTATGTGTGTGTGGTTGCTTGTATGTATGTCAGATCCTACTATGCACCAGCTAAAGTTGCAAACTTCACTATAGCACAATCCCCAAATACACACATTCACTCACACACAAACACAAAACCATGTATGTACATGGCAAGATGTCAGATCATGTAAGATACTACTTCCCCTGCAAGAGAACACTAGGCATGCATGCATGCATGCATACATACATACATACATACATGCATTCACATACACAAAGGGAGAAGTGTAGGGTTGTATTATATATCACATCCATTATAGATGAAGCCCCATAATCAGGCCTATGTTTCAGTTCTGTTCAACTGTTAAACAGATCACGTACACAGGACTAGGTGTCAGGCCATGATAGATACCTCCTGCCCTAATCTCAAGGTTCAATACACAAACATATGTACTTGATCAGTACTGCTAGATACCCCTACCCTAGTGACAATATGCTCAGTACATACACATGAACAAGTCTAGGCCCTACAGTCAAAGTCAGGTTCTTCATGTTAATTCCTCCTGCAGGCAAAACTCCCCAGAACAGGGATGCTCGTGTGGTCTGCTAGGTACAAACTCACCCTCACCTCCTACCTCCAACCCACTGTTTGACTTGAATTTGTACTGTGCATCCTCCTCTATAACCAATGTCCCACACAGGAATCTAGTTGCAGGTCCTACTAGATGTCAACTCTCCTGTAGTCAAAGCCTCATACAAAAGCATGGCTTTGTGAGGATCTACCACATATTTACCTCCTACACATCCAAAACTAAACAGATACATAAGACTTAGGTTTCAGCTCCTGGATAGTACCCATCCCCCACAGTAAAAGTACCATTTGCACATATAGATCAAGATAACCATTCATGTTAGGAAGTTTCTACCCTTCTGTCCCTCTTTCTTTTATACTCACATCTGAAGAATGAGAGCTAAGAACAGGAGATGTATAGAACCTGCAGCTCGTTTGCTAGTATTCATATACACTCTTCCCTATAACCAAATGCCAGGTACACAGCCACACGCTCAAACATACTCAGGTATATATGCTTGCATGAAACCATGCACATAATAATCAACAATACAATCAAAGCCCTGTTTACAAACAAACATCTATGTCCTTCTCCTACTATGTGTCCATCTCCCTACAACAAAGCATGTACATACACATACATAAAGAGAAAAAGAGAGAGGAGAGAGTCAGAGATAGAGACAATAACAAAGATAGAGACTGAAGTCAAAGACACAGAGATATGATATAGATAAATACATAGATAGATAGATAAATAGATAGATAGATATGGATAGATAGATAGATACATAGATAGATAGAGAGATAGATATGAATAGATAGATATGGATAGAAAAAAAGAGAGAAGGGGGGTGTTCTGTGTCAGATCCATTGTTACTACTCCACACAGTTAAAGCCATCTACTCAGGGTTAGGAGTCAGGTTCTGCTTGACACAACTTCCTCTGTACCCAACGTTCCCATACACAGCTAGTTTCCCAGAATACACACCCTGCCCTATAATAAATGCCAGGTACATAGCCACATATCCAGAAACACATTGGGCACACATTCTCCAACAAATCCATTTACATACTCAATGAAGTTACAGCTTGCTACCGGGTCCTAAAAAGGTAGCTCCCATACAATTAATGCACCACACGCACATCTAGTTGCCAAGTCCTCTGTGGTAAAGGCATCCGACATATAACAAAACCCCACATACAACTCTAAGTATTAGATTCAGTGAGGTATTCAAAATAACTGTCAAAGCCATATTTTACAGAAAATCATACACACACCCACAAATGCCCCCATACACGTAAACAAACATGCACATACACACATGTACACACATACATATGCACATGTACATATACACACGTACATGCATGCACATACATGCTTGCACACATGCACATGTGAATACACACAAGCATGCACAAAACCAAATGCACCCATGCTGGGTAAACCCCCGGGGAGGATGACTCTACCTTAAGTGCCCAAATTTATACTAATTAAAATTGGGAATTTTAAATCTTAATTAACAAATGGAATTAATTGGCTATTCTAACTGAAACCATGGTGCCTCCCTTTTGAGATCCCCTCTTAACTGGACTGCAACAGACAGGTCTCTTACTTGAGAAACGAAGTGGGTCGATAGCCCTCAGGATTATGACCCTGAGCAACACAATCTTTAGCCCTAGTTTGCCTTTGCCACATGAAAGGCCACAAACCCAGCACCATTTTCTTACAAAGCAGGTCATGCTTTACTTGTTAACAGACAAACCCTCAGTGCAGGCCTGATTGAGCCAGCAAGACAAATGAGTTATCAATGACAGGTACGTCCTGGGTGACATCTACCAGCCTAAGACAGAGTTTGTGAGGTCCAGGCAGACTTCTCATTGACGGTTTGCATAGATGTTAATGTTCCAGGCAACCTAAGCCATACACTTATTTTCTAATTTTATATGAAAGAGGGATTCGTTGCACTCACCCTCCATGGGGGTATGTTGACCGCTGGTTACTAGGAGCTTTTAGCAAAACACTTCTTGTCACCTCCTCCCAGTAAGGCTTGCATGGAAGTTCATGTTTATTGTCTAAAGGTTAATTCCTGGTTTTGGCCCACCCTTTTGCTGGAGGGCCCTGGGAACATAGGCTTCTGACCTTGGTGTTTTTACACCATACCTGACTTTGGTATATAAGGCTCTACCATTGTAATAATAAATGTCATTCTCTTTGTAAGAATGAACCGCTGTCTTTGTCTTTATTTTCCTCCTTAGCCCTTAGCCTCAGATCATTGTGAAGTATACTAACACTGAAGCTGCAAACACACTGGCAGCTTGCTACAGTGGGGATTTTGGAGGGGGATGTGAAGGGAGGACTTGGGAGGAGGGGAGAGAAAGGGAGAAAGACCTGGGATTGACATGTGAACAATCCCTGTTTCAAATTTATATTTAAAAATAAAAAATGGAAAAAATGGGGTACAGAACTAAATAGACAATTCTCAATAGAGGAGTCTAAAATGGCCAAGAGGCATCCTTTGCCATTAGGGAAATGCAAATCCAAACAACTCTGAGACACCATCTCTCACCCAACAGAATGACTAAAATCAAAAACACTATTGACAGTTTATGCTGGAGTGGATGTAGAGAAAGGAGAACACCCCTCCACTGCTGTTGGGAGTGCCTACTCATACAGCCACTTTGGATATCAGTATGGCGATTGCTCAGGAAAATGAAAGTCAGTCTACCCCAAGATCCACCAATTCCACTATTAGGCATATAGCCAAAAGTTGCACCTTCATACAGTAAGGACATCTGCACAACTATGTTCATAGCAGCATGGTTTGTGATAGCCAGAACCTGGAAGCAACCTAGATGCCCATCAACTAAAGAGTGGGTGGGAAAATGTGGTGCATTTATACAATGGAGTACTTACTACTCAGCAGAAACAAAATGGAATCTTGAAATGTGCAGGCAAATGGATGGCAGTAGAAGAAACCATGCTGAGTGAGGTAGCCCAGTCACAAAAAGGTAAAATAGTATTTGCTCACTCATACATGATTTTAGACAAGGAGCAGGGCAATGCCAGCCTATAATCCCACAGCAAGAGAGTCTGGGGTGCAAGGAGGACCCTAAGAGAGATATGCATGTGCTGTGATCTCCTAATTGGATTGGGGGGAGAAGGGGAAGGAAGAAGGAGATGGGAAAAAGAGAAGGGGAAAAGATGAGGGCCAAGGAGGACATGGGAGAGCAGGAAGGTTGAGCCAGGATAAGAATAGAGGAGACAAGGAGGGGAACTACCATAAAAGAGGGAGCCATAATAAGTTGGAGGAGAGGGCTGCCATTAATGAGTTCTTCACAGATCTAAAAGAATGACACCAACTAGCACTAAGCCAACCTTAAATGCAAATGAAAATGATGACTACCTTATATATCATCCTAGAACTCTCAACTCATGGCTGATGGAGGCAGTGACAGACATCCAATGCAGGGAACCGAATGGAACTCCTGGAACCCAGTTGCATGATGGCGAAACTGAGAAATGCAGGTAACTAAACTAGGGGGTACACAAGGACCCCAGACTGATGACTGAGGGGCCAGCATGGGACTGATCCAGACACACACGCCCACAGATCCTGGGTGTCAGAGAAGAGGACAAGGAAACCTGTGGGACCTCAGACAGTAGACCAGTATTTCTTCCTGGCATACAGATCGACTCTGGGAACCCATCCCACATGGAGGGATGCTCTCTCAGCATGGACACCTGGGGGAGTACGTAGGCCCTGCCGGGCTGATGTGACACACTCTGAAAATCCATCATGGAAGCCATTGCCCTCCCAGGGGAGCAAAGGGAGGATGAAAAGTGGGTGAGGGGTTGGGAGAACTGGGAGGTGAGGGGGGAGGGGAGAGAGAGGGAACTAAGAGTGGCATCTGTAAAATGTTAAACAAACAAACAAACAAAAACAACAAACTCCAACAAATACTTAAGACAAAATATCCCCGAATATGGGACAATGTGAAAAGACCAAACCGAAGAATAATGGGTAAAACTGAAGAAGGCAAAGAAGCCCAGCTCGATGTTGCAGAAAACATATCAGCAAAATCACTGAAGACAACTTTCCCAACCTGAAAAAGGATATGCCTATGAAGTACAATAAGCTTCCCGAACACTAACTAGAATGGACCAAAAAATAAAAATAAAAGTGACCTCGCCACATAATAATCAAAATACCAAAATACAGAATAAAGGAAGTAATAAAACCAGCAAAGGAAAAAGGCCAAGTAACATATAAAGGCAAGCCTATCAGAATTACACCCAAATCCTCCATGGAAACAATGTAACCCAGAAGGTCCTGGATAGATAGATGTTCTACAAACACTAAGAGACCACAGCATCTAGCCCAGACTACTTCTCCCAGCAAAACTCTCAATCACTATAGATGGAAGAAAACAAGATATTCCATGATAAAATCAGAAGATAATAAAAATATTCAGTAATTATTTTATACTAAATTCTAGTGCAGTTGTGGGGATCAACTCAAAACAGCTAGGAATGAAGCCATTATTTCCCAACAATTATGAACCAAGCACTGCTCTAAGCTTCCACAGAGCAGAAGAAAAGGCTCTAAGGTAAACACCGACTGCATGATGGCAAGGAAGCCAGTACCAACCTTTGCAAAACAAGGATTCCTCCTTCCTCCACCCCCGGAAAGTTGTAACATTGTTGCGAAAGGAAAACAACCTCAGCAAGCAAGGCAGAAGGGCAGCTACTCTTACCAAGGGATATTCTTGGCATTATATTGAAGTCTGAAAGATTATAATTCAGGAAGAAGGCAGCTGGCAGGCTCATACCAGTCTGAAAAATCATTAGGAAACATTTTAAAGATGAGAGTTCTCACATCTGAACTATTACTAAGGCTTACAAGTGAAAGATGAGATGTAATGGTGTTCTTAGCTACTGGGGCTGGGTTGATGTGTTTCTTTTTGGTTTTGGTTTTGGTTTTAACCAGACTTTCATCTTCAAAATAAGTTTTGATTTAAATTAGAAACATGCATGCTTCACACATCAATCCCAGCTCCCTCTCCCATACCTCTTCCCTGCATCTACTAGTCCCTCAGAGGCCCTGCATAACAGCACAGGTCAAACCCTCAGGGTGGGGCAGTAGGAGAGCAGGATGGGGACAAGGCTCCTCCACTACCCGTCAAGGCCCCCATGACATTCCCAAGCATACTTCAGGCTTTGCTAACATCTCTGAGCCCAAATTCCAATAGCATCAGTGCATCTGTGTGCCTCACTGGTGTCTGGGGATGTAAGATGCACCGAGGATAGCTCCTACACTGTCTGTGGCCCCCATGACTGACTTGGACTCCTGTTGGACATCACACACAAGAGTTCTGGCCCCAGAGGATGAGGATAATGTATCACTAATGCCACGGATTGAGCAAGAAGTCTAGGTAGTTTAAGCAGAGTTAGAGGTCCTACATATCTTAGGTATGCCAGCAACATTTGGGACTCTAGACACAATGATGTACCCCTTTGGAAGTCACTAGGTGTCAATAAAGCACTGTTGGCCAATAGGGAACCAAGATAGGTGGGACTAGGAGTCAAGCAGGATTCTGGGTAGGAGAAACACAGGAAGTCAAGATGTAACTGCCATAGGGATAAGAAGCCCAGAAAGTTCTCCGGTAAGAGAAATACTTAGTTTAACAATTATGGGGTAATTTCTTTAGTCAGAGCTAGCCAGTAAGAAACAGGCAAGGCCAACAGGTTCTTAATTAATATAGCCTCCTCTGTGTTTATTTGAGACTGATGCGGCTCTGGAACCTGGCTAGCAGGAAGGCTTCTCTTGACAACTAGGTGTCTCCACTATGCTATCTGGTGTACTTCAGGCATAGAGAGATTCTTCTCTGTATACTTATAGGCTCGACCATCACCCTCTGCCCAACTTGTGATCCAGGTGGCTGTATTAAGAAAGATTCAACTGAAATCATTGGCTTGGATTCCCCATCCTCTCCGATCCTCAAGTACCCTTACGTACCAGATTTCAGTTGGCTTAAGAATTTCAAGCCACAAAAGGGATTACAGTTTTTTCCTCCTGAATTTGTAGGTTACATGCCCAAATTAAAGAACACAATTGCTTTGGTATTCCAGTTGCGTAATTGCCCATTAAATAAAGCAAAAATGAAATTGAATCATAAACTTCACACACACAATGAAGAGTTTAAACTTTTTATTTATTTCAATATAGTCATTTCCACTGGAGAAGCCCTAGACACAGCCTTAAATGATGTGACAAACTTTGATGATCCCACATGCAAGGCCTAAAACGATGGGGTGCAGAAGGTGGATGGGGCACTGGGTTGGCAGGGTATGATAGGCTGGAAGGGAGAGATAATTGGGAACCACATTAAAACTACATTGTCTCTAATTTAAATAAATCTCCAGGGAAAAAAGAAACAGTCATTGCACTCAGTAGGGAATTAACAGGGCATTTTCTATATAAAATATATAGCCTTAACTAATATCAATATGAAACAAGAACAAAGGGCTTCAACAGGGCATGGAGTACATAAAACATATAATCTTAATAAAATATCAAACACAAAACAAGAACAAAGATCAGATCCAAAGAATCATAAAACGTGAAACTGGAACAACAATCCCAAACCACGAACAAACAGTGAAAAGCAGTAGCTTCAGCACTGGACAGGATGAGAATTTTGAGCAGAGACATGTCCTCCCTCCATGTTGTTGAGCTCCACTTGCTGGTAGATGTGTGGGCTCTGAGTATTTCTTGGAAGGTATTTTGGATCTCAAACTTCTTTGTGATGATTTTGTTACTCCTGAAATTGAGACAAGAGACACATGAATCAGACATTGGACATACCAAATAACTTAGCATAATATTAGCATCACGGGTGAGATTACAGCTAGATTGACAGTTCTTATGGTGAGGTCTTGATTCTATTTTGGAGAATGTTGTGATTTTTGCTTTTCTGTGGCTTCCTTAGACCTCCTTAATTCTCTGAAAGTGTGCTGTGAGATAAAGAAAGGCAGTCAGTTCCAAAATCACCATTGTTCTGTTACCAATTAGACAAAACCAGGGTCTATTCACACATACAAACATAGATTTGAGGAAGAAACGCCTCCCCAGGAATGCCATTGTTTGTGAAAATACAATGCAATGGTGGCTCACTTGCCTGTGTCTCTTAGTGCTCGTGGAACTGCAGTTCTGTCTGCAGGGTGCTCTCATCATGGCCTGAAGCCTTCTCTATCTCCTGTTGCAGTTTTTCTGATCTGGAAGAGGAAGGACCAGTCAGAGATCAGTCCTAGTGGGGTCCTGCATTGTCAGCTGTCAAATGTGACCTCACAAATACTCGACTATGCTGAAAACTGTAGCATTGATCACATGACAGTAGTCGTTGTTTATACCCCCAGTGAATAAGGGTCACAGAAAAGCTTGTCCTTGAATTTGTCAGGCTTCTACCAGTGTCGCAGGCTGATCTGAGTACTGTATGTATGTGCTATATAAAGAAAGAACAGAACATTCTCCAACACACCATATTAAATACACAAATAACAGCAGAGTGGAGAAACACAGAATATTCATGGTGAGTTAAACACAGACCACATCATTTTATAGGCAGACATAAAACGACATTTCAGCTTAGAAAACTGGTAAGGCCATGGGGCACTCTCATGCCGCATATCCAGAAAAAACCTTACACAAAGGCCTACATCATCAAGCCTATTACTTCCTAGTGAAAAGTTCATGTTGCCCGGAACAGCAGAGTATTCAGACGTGTAGGTTCCCTGGTGTTGCCTGGAGCCTTGCCTATTTCTTGCACAAAAGGCAGAAATCAAAAGTAGAAGATACTGACTTGAACCTGGCTCCCAATTTCAACTCCTGGCTCATACCTCATCTGGGAGACAGTCAGGTAATTCTGCAGCTTTCCTGCTAAGGTCTTTTTCTCAATGATTAGCTCCTCCTTTTGCTGGGACTGTAGATTTGCCTCCAGTCTCTGCTGCTCCTGTTCATTAGAAGGTTGTGATCTTAGTAGAGATTTGAGCATAGGTATGATTTCACTCTAAGACAAGTGCAAGCACACACAGAGGATCTCGAGGAAGCTTCTGTAAAGTGGAATCCTGTTTCCGGATAGAGACTGAGAAACCAAGTGGTCTCCTCTAAACAACTTCCACATGCATTGGATAATAACCCCCTCAGTTTCCTCCACTGCCCTCTCTAGGTGATTGCATATATACAGCTGTGCACACAAACAGAGACATGGACATATCAATAAACAGAGAGACAGAGAAGGGAAGAGAGGGAGAAAGAAAGAGAGAGAGAAATAGAGACTCAGACAGGGAGAGAGAGAGAGGGATAGAAAGACAGACAGACAGACACATAGCCAGACAGACAGAGACAGAGGTGAAAAGAGGGCAAGCAGATAACATAACAGCCCCTCATTTTGAAGATTTCAACATACAAAACTCTAAGCCTGTCTTCCAGGAATTCCACATCCCTGAAAACCTATCATCTCCATACTATAATCTCCAGGATGGGAGAATTTGCCAAAGAAACACACAGTAAACACTACTGGCAAAGTCCCACTGGAGGTTCTGTCAGTGTGAACCAAGTTTTGTGCATGGTAAGAGAATACCTTTGATTCCAGAGAATAGGAGGAAGAAAGGCCACATGCCATCTAATGAGCAGACAAAGAGAACCACTAGTTTGACATTGTCTCCTTGCCTGGCAATCTGCTTCTCCTGCCCCCACTGTGATATCATACACACTTGCCAACCAAATGAGCCACAGGAATTGGAACTAACTCCCTCAAGTGTGTACAGAGCACCACTCCCAATACAGTGTGATGTGGGACTGTGAAGTTTTATTGACCCATCACCCTGCTTGAACTGCAGCCTCTAGTACAGCAGCAGGGTGTATGTGGCAATTGGTACTCACAACAGACTGCCTTCGTAGTACTACTGATGCATGGACAATGAAATGAACAGTTGGATGTCATGAAAGCAGAGGATGAAAAGTGTGTGTGTTTGTATGTGTGTGTGTTTGTGTGCGTTTATATGTGTATAAATTATAAGTAAATCCACAATTTTGTCGATGGACAGACACCCTTATAGTCCATGTGTAAATAATGATGGACCTGACCCTGACCCAGCTGCTTTTCTCTACCTGATGCTCCTGGGTCTGGAGGTCACGGATGACTCGCTCTTCTTTCTCACAGATGGCTTTCAGTTCATCCAAATAATACTGGAGCAGGATCCATTCCCCTAGCACCTTCTTGGTCTCTTGCCTCAGCTTCTCCACCACGTACTGCACCTGAGACTTCTCCATCTGGAGTTGTTGCTGCAGATTGCTAGAAACACTCTCTGGATAGTAAGACCTTGACTCTCTTCCAACCACCCCTGCATCCATAACCCATCAATTCAACGGGACCTCTGGTTACCAAAGGTGACAGAGACAAGTGGTCAATGCAGCCATGACAGCTGCTCTCAGAAGGCCAAAAGTAGAGAACTAGAAATTCCAGTAAGAATCAAACTATTTCTGAATATGTCAAAAAAAGAAACCCAAGATTCTCTAATTCTGTGGGTAGTTCCTTCAGTGCCCTTAACTGACCATGGTAATGGGGCCACATCAGAAGACAGGGGACAAAGCCACTCAGAGGGATGACAGGACACTCAAGTGGTGTAGAAGTCCAATATGGGCAAGACGCCTATGCTTGAGAACCTTCCTGACACCAATCTCATGCTGCATAATATTCCTCTACTTAGAGAAGTCATCCTCAAACTATGGGTCATGACTCCTTTGGTGATGGCATTACTCTTACATGGTTGACCTCTCAGATTTCCTCAATAATAGATTCTCACATCGTGATTCATAACACTAGCAAAATTACAGTTAGGCAGTAGCAGGAAAATCTATTTAATGGTTGAATATCACCAAAACATGACAAATTGTATAACTTCGTGATAGTATAAGGAAGGATGACAATCAGTGAACTGTAGTCTATTTAAGGTTGATAGTCTGGGGCTGGGAGGAGCTAATTGTCTCTCTCACAATTAGCAAAACTGAGTGTCATGAAAACAAGACCAAGAACTGCTTGCTAATGATTTTTCCTAAAAGCCATAATAGCTAGAACCTATCTGTGGACTCTGCAGTACAGACACAAAATAGGCAGAGATGGACTTTTCACAATGCTCTGGTCCCCTGCAACACAGACACTTACCAATAGAAGCATGATTCCTCGGTGATCTCATGGAATCTTTCCAAGGCTTCCTTGTTCTCATTTTGCAATCTCTGTAGGTCATCCATGACCTGCTTATGCTCCATCTGGAGATTTTCATAGAAAGGTTTTGGCCGATGATAGGATATGGACCTTGAAACAAAAATTTCCGTGAACAAACCTTTCATAGGTCACATGAATTCTGGCTGTGTTCAAGGCTACTGGAGCCCATGGAATGCCACATTCAGTCTCCTTGGAATATCTGGTGCTTACTAAATATGCTGTTATAACCGTAGGGCAGCAGAAACATCATGTCAACTTGAAGAGAGGTGGGGATGCCTGAGTTCTTTCACTAACACTGAAATAGCTGGCTAACACTGTCCCTAGTTTCTAGTTCATGGTCTGGGCGCACAAAAACAGGGTATAATGTTTTGCTTCTGTATAAAATAAAAATTCTTAGGCTTGGTGTCTGTAAATGTAGAGGCCAAAATCACACCATGAGCATTTTTGTGGATAGGACTAAATGTTTTCCTTACAGAAACTTATCAACTGGGTCAGATCCACAGACAATGGCGCTATGGGTATCAGTCATAGTCAGAGGGAGCAGAACATTCTTTGGAAAAGGGCTGGACCATGTTGTGAGTGCTGTTTCTCTGGGATATAGAACACCACTTCATCTGCTCTGATGATGGCCTGCGAGGACACAGACAAAATGGGAGGTATCTCAGCTGGGAAGGGAAATGATGGTCCTAAGTTTGGACCCCAGGAAAGGTGTGGGGGTTAGGGCCTGCATTGAGGATCTCACTCTTCAACATTCTCTTTCATCCAGGAATTCCAGGAGGAGATGAGGTGAAGATGGGCAGATGGAAAGCAGCTGAGGAAGAGAAGTAGATACTGTTGTGTCCCTGCCTACTTGTCACCCTGTAGACCATCAGCTGGGACATTGCATCCTCACAGGTCTTTCCCATCTTCCTGCTATCCAGGCCCAGAGAAGTTTGGTGACTTTCCCTAGGCCACATACCTGCCAGAAATGCTCCCCCCTTCTGAGTGAAGATATGCTCCTCCCTACACCTCTAAATCTCCAGGGAGGAAGTAGATAAAGAAATGGGATTTTACTCAACAGAGGTAGGAGGTCTGACCCAGAAGTCCAGGCTGTAGACAGATGTCAGTAACTGTGTGGCTTGGTCATACAAATGACTTGTGGAGCAGCATGGCGACTAAAACAGTAAGCATCCCTTACCATACCCCCAGAATGCAGTGACCTCAAATGCAAGCAAAGTGCTGATCTCTCACATGCTCTGCCTCTCTGAAGTCCCTCATTCCAGGGACTAAGGGGGCATCTGCTGTCTCATTGTCCTACATCCAGCACCTGGCCTGATGGTCTTCTAGGGTTTGGGTGGTATAGGGGTCTGTGGAGTTTCCTCCACAGCCTGTTTAGAAATGCACTGACCTGGAAAGCTGTGAATAGGAGGCCCAGTAGACTCTGAGGAAGATATTTGGGTAAGAAAAGGGGACAGTGTGACAGTGGGATGAGTCTAAACCCAGACTTTGGTTAGATCCTTGCTGGACTGAGGGCTGTGGTCTCACGTAAGCTTCTTAACCTCTCTGGACCTCAATCCTTCAGTTCAGCATATGCAGGATGTTCTTTGACTCTAAAGAACATCACAACTCTTCCCGGGTGGAGCTTGATGCTGTAAGCAGCCCAAGACTCAGCCCTGCAGATCCTGTGTGGACACCATTTCACATTGGTACATAGGCTGTGAGTGGCTGGGGTTTTCCTGAGGCCTAGCCCTGGACTGTTTTTTTTTCACATACAAGCCTCAGTTACCTTACCATGAGGCTGGAACTCCATCTTATGCACAGCAAATACTCCCCTCCCCTGGATCTCTTTAGGTCCTGAGGACAGCTGCTGGGGGACTCTGTCCTCCCATGAAATCTAGCAGGATGTTGATCTGCACAGTCACCCTCTCTGGGTGGGCTTGGGTTCTGCTCTACATCTGCAGTTTCAGTGGATGTGGCTTAATGTTCCATGGGGCTCATGTCAATGGCCTGGTTTTCTTTTCTGGCCTCCATATCTATGAGGGAACTGTGGATATGATCCCTGGAGAAAACATGAGATGATTCTATATAAAGCAACCCTGGTTTCCAAATGGACACCGACAGAGTGTTTGTGTGCAGGGCCAGCCACTCACTGAAGCAAAGACTGTGATTCCTTCTGGGTCCCCTGGATTCTAGTATATTCACCCTTGTTTGCCCCTGATACTCAACAATTCCTAAGCTTTGGTGTCACGTGGTGAATTTCCTATTCTTTCCCTTTATGTTATTTCTTCCCCCTCAGGTAATGGATACGGGCTTGCCAGGGCAAGAGTCTTAGCCCTTCCCAACTGTACACTCCCAATAGAAGGAAACACAGTGTCTACTGGGGCTCAGATGAATGATTCAGGTCTTACTGTCTCACTGATTCACACACACAAACTGACAGGCTCACACACAGACTCAGATTCATACACAGATTCAGAAGCTCACTCACAGATTCACAGGCTCCCAAACAGAAACTCAAACTCACACAAAATCTCAGTGGTTCACACACAGACTCACAGGCTCTCTCTCTCTCTCTCTCTCTCTCTCTCTCTCTCTCTCTCTCTCTCTCTCTCTCTCTCTCTCTCTCACACACACACACACACACTCTCTCTCTCTCATGGAGTCACACACACAGACTCAGGCTCACACACAGATTTCAGTCTCACACATAGATTTAGAGGTTCACACAGAAACTCACAGCCTCATACACAGACTCCTAAACTCACACACACACACACACACACACACACACACACACACACACTCTCAGGCACACATACAAATAAGCACATACACAGACTCACTGAGTCATGCAGCAGACATGTCTATTTTTAGCTTCTGGCCTTCAGGCCACATATGTCAAGGCACCCCACACTTGGGATTTGGTCCAGAGCTCCCCAATAGAGAGTTTTTGTGAGCACTGCATTTGGGTAAAACCATGATGGTCACAACCACACAGGATGCATGATTAGTGGACTGGGACAGGACATGAATCTGTATCATGGGGACTTGGCATCTTTGCTCCCCTCCTTCCAGGTCAGTTGCAGGGCATCCACCTTGCAGTAGAAGATGGCAGGTTGGAATAAATGTCCATGGCTCCACAATGTCCTCCCAGAGGACACCACGCACAGGTCAGGAGTGATGCAACCTCTGATGTCATCCCAGGGTATCAGCCACAGGAACAGAATTGAGGTCCAACTGAAATCCTGGCCCAATCTGGCTCTCAGCTCATGCTTTTAAGCCACAGCTTGCAGGGGACACCTGTCCTGTCATTTTGTGGTCCTTGAGAAGGAAAAGAACCTGTGTCTTGGGCACACCCACTGAAGTTGGAGGGTACTTGTGTCTCAGAGCACTGAAGCCTGAGGACCCTAGAGGAAACAAACCAAGAGACCAAGGGTCAGGCAGCCTGAGGACACCTCAGGGTGAGATGTCTGCCCTAGGTTCGAAAAGGGGATAGAATTCACATAAGGTCCTATTTTGTTTTTCTTTTTTTTCAGACAGGGTCTCACATATTTCATGTTGGCCTTGAACTTACTATATCACCAGTTCTCTACTTGGGATTCATGCCCAAGACCATGGGAAGGCACAAGATATTTACATTCCAATGCATTACACTATCAAAATTACAGTTATGATGTAGAAGCTAAGTGTTTTCATGATTGGGGTCATGATAACATGAGGAACTATATTAAAGGTCACAGCATTAGAAGGTTGAAATCATGGTACTATGTCATAGAGTCTCTGTCTCTACCTCCTGAGTGCTGGGATTACAGGCATGCAGCATCACTCCTGGTATATGCATTGTGGGGTTCTAAGTCAGGGTTTTTGTGTGTGGTAGACAAGTGCTCTACCAACTGAGCAATATTCTCACCACTGCAGAGCCATTTCTGGAGGCAGGCCAGTGTTTGCAGGCAGGGGGATGGTCTAGGTTACACCCTTTTGACACATAGGGGCCCCAGCCTTTCACAGCTAAAGAAACCTGCTGCTCCCCAGAACAGTGGCTCACAGATGCTCCTTTTCAGGAAGAATGTGATTCTGTGGGACACCCATAGGCCTGTTTGCAGGGCCATCAATATCAAAACATGTTAGCCCACACCCAGTACTGAAGCCACTGTGGAATGCATTGTGCTGGTCATTCACATCAAGGGCATGGGGACCCATGAGGATAAAATAGAGGCAAGGCCAGGACCTGGTTTGTAGATCGACCTTTCAGATGGGGTGGGGGACAAATTTCTCTGTCTGAAGGACTATGCTGGCTGTAATCCAGACCACACTGCTGGGGTCAGTGCCACCCTGCTCACACTGGCCTTAGATGGCATTCACCACAGGCAAACAGAGACAGCCCACACATGGGTGTGGCACTTCTACCTGGTGTTGCTATGGCTTTCTGATCCCTCTGTTGGCTTCAATGGAGCCTAAGCTGGCAATGGGCCCTCTGGTCCACCTAGACCCTCAAGGGCCATGGAGGATTGAAAGGTGGAACTTGGCCCTGTACACCAGGAGGCTATCCATGAATCATGACTGGACACTCCCTTCTCAGGATGCCCTAGGCTAGGGTCCTTCTGGGGATGCTCACTACCCCCAACCAGGCAGAGCAACAGAAAAGACTGTGACCAGGGGCAAGTCACCCTACCTCTCTGTCCTTGTTTATCCTCTCTCACTTACACTGGCCAGTGAGGTCATCTTCCAGTCCTGTCTCAGATGGGGAAACTGAGGCACAGAAGGTTCATGCTGGGTTAGATCTTGGTATGTAGATGTAACACAGAATATGTTATGTGAGCCAGACTGGGTGCTGTGGGAATGGGGTGAAAGAACAGTGAGGGTGTAGAGTGGGGAACACAAGGCCAGTCCTATCTAATTTACATTTCTAGAAGTTGCCAAACACCCAACAAGTGGGAATTCCGGATTGCACCCACTTTATGGAGAAGTTAACTGAGGCCCATCCAACTAAGGCAGAGCAGCTTGCCCATGATCATCAATGGGAAGGCAAGGGAGAGATAACTTGGACAACATTAGGACCTGACATCCTCAGTACTGCATCCTAGGTACTGTCATAAATGACATCTCCCTTAGAGAGGTTGACACTGCCCTTGTTGCCCTGTTATTGCCAGGGTGGAAATGTCAGGGCACATG